TCCGAGTATCGCATCGTGGAAAGAAGTCTCTATCCAGACCGCATCCAGAGGCATCGGTCACCAATAGATACTCATCCTTGTAGTCAATGTATGGAATACGTTTGTTGTGACTGTGAGTGAAGGTCTCGGCGGACTTATGTAGCTCTAGGCGCCTGGTTGGTGATATTCTGACGCTCCGAAGAGACGGTCGCTGGCTCAGGACCATCAGTACTTCATAGGGCTTATCCAATTTGGGCCGTATTTCGGGAATCTAACCTGTACACCAGTTTATGCGGCCAACGAGCGTCTCCAACGTTGCTCGCGGTATACATAGCTGATCGGATAGCAACACAGCGATTATCTTATCTCTTTTGGTCACCGGCACGCTGAGTTCGATATCGTTATTCTCCCCGATATCCACCCGATAACCAAGTATCCTTCCATCACTCCTCAAAGCGTGGGTTTTCGTCAGCTCGATAGGTATTCCAAGTGCTGTCACCAGGAGCAGGCTGAATACCAGACAGAACCTCGCCTTGCTTGTGGCCATCGTATAGTCATCCACATATACGATCGCTCGAAATATTGTAGTAACAATCTCCGGGGCGACCATTCGCAATGCACAGTCCAATAGGCGTTTTACACAGCGTAGGCTCGCCTCCCGGAAACGCTCGGGGATGTTACGAGGCCGAAAGGCAGGCAATTGTGCTTGAAGGCTTTGCTGGGATCCCGAGGGTCCAGAAAGCATAGGAATCCGCGTTCGCTCGATTCCACACTAATCAATCTGAACGCTGATACTATGTCCCATTCTAACAACCAAACTTGGCTATCCTCATCTCCAACACTAGGTGTTGGTCGCGGGACATTAGCCAATAGATCGTAAACATCCCGGAACCTAGGAAGACAGCGGGTTGTTTTCAGTTCACGGACAGTACCGTCTTCGCCTTTGCTTTCGAATAGAGCTCCAGTACGTACGGTAATATTGATACCACTCCTCCTGAAGTCGTCCAATTGTCGGATGGCTTTAAATTCCTTCCCGTTTTTCCACATCACATGAACTTTCGACAACGCCTTGCAGTCTGGACTCGTCGAATTAATCTCTGATAACCGGCCTAGCCGAAGCTCCTTCGCTATGAGCTCTTCGAACAGCCTATACATATCTGGAGGAATGCTGCCCTGCGGCCAGTCGCGTAGCCTCAGCTCCTCGAGTTTTTCGCCAGGCCACCGCACGAAGGACGGCTCATCCTTCTTTGGTTTGCCAAAGTTGTCAGTATCGATTGCTGGCCATTCCGCATTTACTCAAACCGGGATCAAGATGCCAATTGGTGCTCCCTCAGCTACCATCCGGCAGATATTCGCGTCTTCACCGGGCGACTCCGTCGTTGCTCCTTCACCAGGGGCCATACTGAGGCAGAGTTCTTCTAGCAGTCTAGCGCGTAGTCCACGCGGCGTAGAGAGGACGGGGGGGGGCGGCCAGCTCTCCCAGCTCCGATTTATTGATGTCCTTCGCGACCGAGATGAAAGTGGTCAAGTCTTCAGGGAGATCATTGGGCACACTATTGAGGGAAGCTCCATCATTGGCGTTCCACTCCACACTCATCGCGGATTGCTCTTCCCGAGAGCTGGCGAAGAAACGATCTAAGAAGTCCTTTCGGGCCGCACAGAACCTCTCTGTGTGCTTAATTAGAATCCCAGAAGTACTCTCTATTATTGGCAGCTCAGATTCTCGAAACTCGAACTTGTCCCACTGCCCTGAGTACCCGGAGCCATCTCGAGGCTTTCTCTCCACCGCTGCGGCTGATAATTCCTGGGTCGACGCTTTCCAAGGGTGATCTTCAGGCTTGCTGCCCAACTTTCTGCCCCTATCTCGCTGTTTCTTCGCTTGGGTAGACCTCACGTGTGGCATTTCCCAAAGAAGAGTCTCTTTGTTGAGAGGGAACCAAACTGAACGACAGTCGTTCCGAGAACGACGTTTCCTCCGCTCCATTTATGATGTTATGATCACTAGGAACGGCACTGACGCAACGCAACAGCCACCAGTTTTGACTACGTGATAATCAAACTTCGGAAAATGCCGGAAACTCAGCTTCAACAGTGTTGGATTGGCACCAAACCAATGCCGCAGCTATTGGTCCTTAGGGTTCTTCCTTGATGGTTCATCCTTCACCTGCCCAGTCCTAGGGCGTTTATCAGACCCGAAGCTACTGTCCTTCTCCCCACCTTGACCGTTCTGCCAATAAAGCTTAGATTGGGGGTCACCGAAATGTTTACGATAACGGCAATCCCTACCGAAGGGACAGGATTGGCGAGTGAAACGGCAAGTGTCAGCACCGAAGTGCATAGCCCTCCCTTGCCTACGTATACCCTTGCCCGAAGGTGGCCTGGGTATGCCAGATTGGCTCACCGCTGGTTTAGCCAAGGCTACAGCTATCAACTCGTGAGACTGATTGGATCTTAAATAGGTACCGAGGGCAGAGTCGACTTGGAGAGAAGGGTCAGTGTCCCGCAGGCGGGTGACCCCTTGTGGCAAGGCCAGTCTGTAACCCTTATCACACTCGACTGCTGCCTCGATTGATCGTGACCTCGCTAACCAGAGCAACCGGCTCAGATAAGCAACCGTGCCTTCCTCAGCTTCGAGAAGATCTCGACCACGACGACACCACCACCACCATAGTTTTTGTTGGAACCGACGACTTCGCTGGCAGTACCGGGACTTTTGGTGGATGAGCTGGCAGACTTCGCATCGGCTACCTCTGTCATAGTGGTTGTTTCGGACTCTCCGTCGAGTCCCCCATATGCACACCTTCTCAATAGTTCGTCGGTCAGCTCCAGGGCCGCCTCGAGCACACCCACAGTACTAATACCCATGTCGACACAAACATTCGACGCTTTCTCAGCCAAGTCGGGGAAAACTTCGCGGAAGGGGTCGGGCGTGCTGGACGTGGTAGAAATATAAAAACAATCTGCAACCAGCTCACGTAAATCGTAGCATGACCCAATACTCGTCTAGCCGAATTCTGTGGCGGAGTTTCTGCCTAGCCTGGCACGCTAAGCTAAGGTCCTCAGCTCGGGCACCGAGCCTCGGTGGAGAACACGGTGTCGCAGTCACTGTCTCTAGGGCAACGAGAGATTGAGCGGACACGGAGGCAAGTCGACGAGTGGTCAGCCACGCGAGGCGGCCGTCCTAAACTCGTAGAGCCACTCTAGCCCGATCGACTCTGGGTATCAGCTTGGTCTAACCCCGAGACAGAGACGCACAGAACCCAGGTCTCATGATGAGACTAACATCCCGCCGGGATGATCCCGGCAGGGCTACTACTCGAGACCACCTCGAGAGTCACGACAGCTTCCGCTTGTCGTTCTTTACCCCACCATCCAGCCACTAAGGGAGTGACTCAATCATGGTGTCGACCATGTGATATTGTTATCAACAATTCGTTGACGTCCCAATGGTTCGGACCCTACGCCATAGGTCGGTGCTGTAGGGATAGCGATCCCAGCCTATATTTGACCTGCCACTTCAGGGCGGCACATGACTGGGCCACGTTGGTTCCCTACCAAGTCCCAGTCAGTGCTTAAAACACAACATATTAAGTGAAACCGCACAATGATGGAAAAATTAGTCTTAAACCTGCCACTTCATACACGATATTCGATGAACCTGAAGAAAAGAAGCAAATGGATGAAAGGAAAGAACCAAGAAGACTGAAAGGAAGAAAGAAAGAGGAAAAAAATCTAAACACCGTCACACCCAAGATAGCTCGTCTGATGCCTAACTAAGAGTGCTTGAGGGTTTCCAACAGGAATTCTCAAGCACTCTGGGGGAACTTTCTCTGTTCTTGGGTGTATGTTCCGAAGGTGATCAGACTGGATCACTGCTTTAGCAACGACTTGACGTCTTGCTTTTCTCTTGAAATTCCGTCATCTGTCTTTCGGCTATCCGTGAACTTGCTCTCTTGGGAGACCTTCACTCTCAGAGCCTCTGAGTCGGAGGATAATCCTCTGCACCACCGAGCATTTCTTTGAGCAACTCCACAGCCTGCTGAAAGAGAACGAGCCGTAAACCAATAGATACGATCTATGATTTTTTCGATAGTCAGTAAACCGTATTACTGTACTTACACGTGTGTTTCGAGTTATTATGGCTTTCGTTCAAAGTGTGACACACTGTCACGGTTTTCTTATATGCTCTGAGTTGACGGAACACTGCCTGATCTTACGTAAAAAGCTTTTACTTAGAGCAATGACAGCTTGAAAGATCTATGTGAGGTTCAGTAGTAGCAAACTAGCATACTGACTCAGTATTACTGAGTCGATGTTAGATACACAGCTACATCACAAATTGTGATTCACAACAGCAAGACAATCATCGAGGTCAACCTCTTGTATCTTCGGGGAGTCCCCGAAACCCGACGGGGACCACATCATTCTCACTTATCATTTTCAAAATCCGCTGGATCCTACACACTTCACGACGTAGGCCACGACTAGTCACTAGGATCAGCAACTTGCTGATCTCACTTGAAGTGCGAATGTTTTCAGGATAGGCTCAATGATCTTTTTTAGGAAGAGGTAGCATGTCTGCCGTGCTCGATTGCGCCCATCATCGGGATATCCCAATCCCATCCTCACGAGAGGTCTATCGGAGATCCATAGATTCTCAAGTTTACTAGAATCCGCTACCGGGTAGCGGCTACCCTAATGTGCTCATTCACAACTACCATTACAACGATATTGCTAGTCCCGGGGACCGTGTACATTGGAGATGCACCCCCAGTATGGTAACCGCGATGGGTTACCGGGAAACGGTTGCCATCTCGTGAGAATCGTACTGTTTCGACGGTAACCGCGTACCACGATAATCACACTGTCATAGCTTTCGCGGTACCGTACCGTCAGATGCAATGCTCGAAGTGAAGTCCGCCCATCTGTCAAAGGAGATCGCCAATGATATTGAAACACAGGTGCCTTCGTCGTCCTGTAATGCTGCCGCCAGCGGTCATCAGGCACCCATAGTGGGTGTCGATTTGTTGCTGTGTCATACAACCTGTGTGAACTGGCCTTGGATGCTCTTGAGCTGTATTTCGCCTACTATTGCAGGCATTGGATTTTCGCCAGTGCTGAGATAGGCATGAACGGAAGATTAATCATCGAACTGAAACATGGATGTTTAGGAGGCGGAGGTGCTACCTCCGAGGTAAGCCAGTAAGTCGTATTGCGGCAAACGTAGGAACAGCAGTGGTACGATGACTTGCTTATACAGGCAATGTGGGAGGATGGACTCCATCCGATGCAACTTGCATTCAACCCTGCAACTTGCATTTAACCCTGCAACTTGCAACTTGCATTTGACCCTGCAACTTGCACTATGCAAGCGGTACAATACGAGAGCGTGTTGAGCGAGTGAAGAGTAGGCCAAGGATGACATAGGCGAGATAATCTCGCCGAGATTCCCGGTTCGTTCCCGCTGTCGAGTATTTTAGTCGCCGAGCTTCGACCGGGTTTGGAAAGATTTCGTGGTAACTTCATTCTATCATCTACCAATTTAAATATAAATACCTACAGTAATCTTGAATAGGAAGCGATGAATCTTATACGTTCTTTCTGTTGGACTCGTGAATCTTGATATATGGTGTTATGAACCCACGAGATGTCAAACGTCATCGCTTAAGCCAGTTGGGTGAATAAGAGTTTTAACGCAAGCTAGAAAGGTGAAACGAAAGATCAAGACATCTCTTATCAACTTCAGCATCATACGAGTTGTCCGGCTTTCGAATCTGATACACGAATAGAGCGATGGTGACGTGACGCGTTCTGGTATTGGACTACATAATCCGACGATGATAATCGCCGCGATTAAATCGCGGTTAAGAGGGAATAAGATCAGCTCTCTCCAGACACCAAATGCTGAGATTAGGATGATTAGCGCCAGCAGTGCTATAAAATACAAAAGGAGGGCACACTTACCCTAAAAGAGCTCCGGGCGCTCACGAGCCCTGCCAAAAGTGAAAGTTTATCAGATGATGAGGGCATAACGCCGATGGGAATCTTCGACGGCCTCAATTGATGATGTGAGCCTGATATAACTGGTGATCAGCTCCATTCTTCAGTACGGTGAGTAGGGGAAAAGACGCAAGAGTTCCACATGGCAGTAGACTCGAGTGACTCGGAGTCACTGACTCCCTATGTTGATGTCATGAGGAAAACGGTTCACACACTTCTACCTCAAACCGTGAGTACACTTCCATAATGTAGCTCTGGAAACTCCAGAGCTCAGCTGAGGGAATCAAACATAAATTCTAACACTGACCATGCCCCTCCTCTTTGCACCGGTGAAACTCACTCGTGAAAAGTATGGCTCATCAAGGGAACTCGGCTCCTCCTTATGCCATATGGTAGCGCGCATAGTAATATACGTCGTTTGACGTAACTGATATCTCAACTCTCTCTCGCAGGACGAGCTTAGAAGCATGGATCATGCTTCTAAGCTTGTCATGCTGCATGACAATCGCTATCGTACTAAGTGATGACATCATACTTAGTATGACATACTAAGTCACAGCACCATGATGTGATTCAGTATGTAAAACTCACCAGAGAGCCTCTGAAATTGCGTTTTTTCATAGAGACGAATTGCAGGAGCGTTACTCTTCTTCACCATCAGATACATAGCAACTAGATTGAGCTTAGTTATGCCAAGCTGAACGTAGACACGTAGTTGCCGCGTGAGAAGCGAAGCTGTTACATTTTTGAAGGTTTCTTCGATGAGATTGGTTCCTATCCCCTTTCCTTGTTTCCCTTCGATCACGCGAACCTCGAAGTTTGCAAACATTTCATCGCCATGTAAGACGATTCAGCCTACGTGGTCTATATAACCGATGATTGTGCCTTTCCTTTTCCGGCTCGGTTCTGGCCTGACACAGGAGCTCATGAACAATCACACTCATAAGGACGATCTCGCTGCAACTTCCCTATTGTTGGAGCATTGTGCCAATTTCACTCACATCTTCTCGTCAATCGCCTTAGCAACATCTGGCTCGATATATGCCGCAGGAACATGCATCTGAACCAGGCCGACTACAGCCTGAAAGAAGGGCAATTAGCATCGTCAGCAAATCCCGAGCAGCGAGGCTCGCTCCTATACAGATGCAAATTCCTGTGAAGTTCTTGGTATAGAGTCTATACTATAGACCTAGCTCGTTGAATGAAGTCCATTTAATGAACGTTCCTTTGAAGCCTAGCTTTGACCCACCTTTGTACGGGAAGCAGCGGCAGTATCAACTGCGACGAAACAAGAGAATCTCCTGCAAAAACTCGCAGCTGATGGATCGAAATGCGACAAATTATCGTCAGGCTTGAACTCGCGATAAATGATACTATCACTGAGGGTGGGATGACAACATTCCAAGAAGACGAGCAGGACAGGGACAAAGGCGGGTACTCTCATTTGAATGGGAGACAGAACTTTTGATCCAAGACGTATATCGATGCACCGAGTCGCCTGTCATATCTCCTGATCTGCACTGTAAGGCCCTGAGTGCCGATGGACGTCTCCCTCTGTCCCTTTGTGCGTGCACGCTCAAACAAAATGAGGCACAGGTGAAACTCGGAGAATGCAACAATGAGATCGACCGGCAAGCTGATCAAGGTCACTCAAGACATGCCCAAGCCCGAATAGATACCGGGCATTGCCCTTCTCTTGCCTATAGGCCCATACAGTCCGGTCTCACACCTCTAACCCCACTGAGTAACTCTGTGCACGCCCGAGAAAAACCTTGTGCCGACAGAGAAAAATTCCCGCCTACTCCGCGCGCACCACCATTTTCTGAGAAAATAAGGAAACGTCAGAGATAAAAGGGCAAGTTTTCCTGTGAAAAAAGTGGCCAGAGTGCGAAGATTTCTCTCACTCTGGCCGCATTTTTCTCCTGCGCGCCACTTTTGTGCCGGTAACGGCATTTTTATAGACATAATTGATAGAAAATTATTGTGATTTTGTGTGTGTGTCTCTAGTCTCCATAATTGTGTCCTAGCGTCAAGCTAGTGGACTCAGGTTCATAACTAATTTATTGCTGTCACAGCAATGCTGTGGTTGTTATCGTTGCGGTTATTTCCGACAACGTTGAAGTTGCCTAAAGCTCTATTGTGGTATCTACTTTGTCATCAAGTCTATCACGTAGAACCTTTGTATACTTCGACGGTTAAGAGTCTTGAGTTGTATTATAACCGTCATATTCTACCGGGATCTAAACTGACCAATGTCAACGACGCCAGCTTTGCCATCTCAAACTGTCGATGATGAACAGCTTCTACGTTTAGCTGAGAGGGTAGCTGCTCTCAGACTAAATAGTGATGTGGGTAGTCTAAGAGACCTTCCGACTCAAGGACGAACTCAGTCGTGCTTCTCATTTCTCAGAAGTATTTTCCCTAATCGTAGTCATGTAACTACGATGCCTCATCGAGCAGTTGTACGTCCTCTTGGAACGACTCAGAGTGATCCTGGTGTGGTAGAGAAGAAGCTTCAATCAGTTGGTTTCCCCGATTCTCTACCTAATGACGATCTTTTTGGTAGTGCTACTCATGATCAAATTGATGGTTTGAACTTCAAACTTTGAAGAATGATTTCGGTGTCTCAGCGGTTGATTTAGAACGTATTCATGATGCTCCTTTCAAGCGGGCTAAGGATAGTCAACTACCCTCTGGTGGTGCTTATATGGGCCATGTTGATAGTAGGTCGATAGATATGTTTCTCCAAGCGGTTAAGCGTGCTCCCGGTTGGTCTGTTGGTGTGATGCCGGAACTATTTCAAGCTTATTATTTGGAGTTCTGTCTTGATGCCTCGGTTCGTGGAGTTATTACTGGCATTGTCGATAAGGAGTTGAAGGAGCGAGGTCTTAAGGGTTATTATGCCATCAGTGCTCGTGCGACGTGTATTGAGTCTGCTCTGAGAGCGAGATTTGAGTCTATTAATTCTCACCGTATCCTGGCCGATCGATGGGAGAGCTTACGGTGGAATATTGCTGATGATTTTGAGAAGTTTTATCTTGAATTTCAAGAGGTGCGAGACTCTTACTCTCGTCAACGCCAGCAAGAACTTCAAGGTGCTGATGTTGTAGAACGACTCTTTGGTGCTCTGACGAAGGAGTTGGCTGATCGGCTTATTAAACAGTATGGCGGGAGCCCCTCGGAGAAGCAAATATTAGAGTTTTGCCGCCGTGAGAATATGATACTGACACGTAATCGTGCCCTGAAGAATGGTTCGGCACGCAGTGGTACAAAACCTAATGTCAATTCTGTTCGAATTGAGGATGAGGTTGATATCGAGGAGCTTTGTGATGGTCTTTTTGCTATGCCAGTGGAGCAGACCACCACCTCAACACAAACCAGCAATTGCCTCTTCGTGTCTAACCTTGCTTTCACTGCCTCTGAGCGTGATCTTCTCGGTGCTTTCCGAAGTGTGCTTAAAGTGTCTGGTGCGATTCCTCGTGGCATTCGACTCTTTAAGGATGGTCGTAATGGGAGAAGTCGTGGTATTGGTCTTATTGAGTTTGACACTCCAGATGCTGCTTCTAAGGCCCTAGGTGTTGTTGATGGCCAACAAGTTCTGGGAAGGAAGGTGAGAGCTCGCCGTGATAGGGGACCTTCGACTTCGTCCTCTACCCCGACTGTGAATGCTCCATCCGGTCCTTCAAAGGTAGTTGCGTCCGAACCATCTCCTGGTACTAAGCGTCGTCGAATAGATGATAGTCCAGAAGCTGAGGTTATTGCTGAAGGTTCTGGTCAATCCGTAGACGTTAATTGTGTACAACATGAGGATCATAGTAGTGGTGTCCAGAACCTTGAGGATGTGGCTACTTCTGAGACTCGGTTGTCTGATTCTGTTCCAGTGGTTAATGGAAATAGTACTCTTTGTGCTGTTGTTGAAACTCTTCACTTTGATGATATCGACCATGAAAAGGTCGATGTGGAAGTGGAGCTTAATGGACTTGTCCAAGATTCGGGGTCAGATAAACGCTTAACTATGGTGACCTCGTTGGTGTCAGTGAAGACTGCTAAAAATGTCTGTAATTCGGTTGCTTGGTTGCTAGATAGTGGTTGTGCCCTTCATCTGATTGATAAGGAGACTCATCCTTGGTTATGCGATGCCCGGTCAGTACGCCTTCCGAAACCAGTTCGTTTAATATTTGCTAATGGTACATCGCAGTTTGTAGAGGAGGCTAAGCTTGTTGCCTTTGTTTGTGGTGATCGTCGTTATTATACGCATGTACTTGTTGTTGAAGGTCTAACTGTTAGTGGCATTTTATCGGTACACCAACTTGTTACTGATTTTGGAACTGTTGCTTGGCATTTGGGTGATGATAATGGTGAGGTGTTGAGGCTTGGGCCACATGTTGTTCTTCGACCTCATTCTGTTTCTGGTTCCTGTCAGCTAAGTTCTACGCCGATATCGTCTCCCCCACTTGTGGAGGTTTTTAGTATGTCGGCTAAATGTGATACCACCGGTGATATGGCGACATCGGCTCTGGATCCGGTATTGCCTGGGAAGGCGGACTTTCTCATTAATGATATTGATCGCCCACCAGACTTAATGACTCCATCCCCTGGTGAGTCTGAATCGGTAGAGTATTCACGTTTAAAAGTAGACTATGTTCAAGATGATAGTGGTGGGACTCGTGCTCGTGTTGGCCTTCCATGGTTGAGCGAAGATCGTCCTGACTGTAATACGCCAGGCCTTCAGAGCTCGGTAGCAGCGGCTCGTGATCGTGTGACTTGTAAGAAGCTTGCCACCTTTGGACAAGAGTGGCTTTGTCGACTTTCATTAGAGCTTGAAGATATGGTCTCTCAGGGCCATATCCGACCACTCACAGAAGACAAATTGTTGATGAATCCTCCTATTATGAGTGCAGTGGTGGTACTTCGTCCAGGACATCCCACACAACCACTACGGGTAACTATTGATGCTCGACCTTTGAATCGGTATTTGGGTTCTGGAGATACGTCTACGTTGAGTCAGGCACTGCACAAAGTATTTTTGCTATGGCGTTTAGCACCATACGTTTCTTGGGACGATGTGGCTCGTGCCTTTCTTCAAGTAAAGTTGTGGTCACACGATGCTGCATACTTGAATTTTAGAATAAATAATGTGGCATTTAGATGCCTTCGTCTCCCGTTTGGTCTCATATGTAGTCCAGCCATATTATCGGCTGTGCTGGTGGATGCTGGTATTGTACTCAATAACCTTACGAGTAGTACATTAAGTGCTTTTTGTGCTTATATGGATGATCTGCTATATACTGGCTGGTCACCAGATACGATGTTGGAGCGTCGAAGTACCGGTCGTAAGGTTTTGGCAGAGAAGTATAGTATGGAGTGTCAACCGAGTAAATCAATACTTGGATATGATCCAGAGTATCATTTAACTCAGTCTCAGACAGCACCCTCAATAAGTTCTACTAAACCGGTGAAGGTTTTGGGCTATCAATGGAACCTTGCTGATGACACTCTTTCGGTGGTACTTCCTGATGTTAGGGAACGCCCTCTTAGGACTAGACGTGACTGTTTTCAGACCTTGGGTCGATATTTTGATCCACTTGGTATCCACATCGAGGCAGCGGCGAGGGAAAGATGGCTCCTTCGACAAGTAGCTCAGCTGACCTCTACGTGGGATTCTGTTGATGTCCCAGTTGAGGTAGCTGAAAGTATTCGAGCATTTTTTAATAGTGAACTTCCACCTCAGCCTCGTTTTACTGATATCCGCTCCGGCATTGTAATCTTTTGTGATGCGGCTGGGACAGGTTGTATCTGTGCCGATGCAAGAGCGATTTCGACTGGTAGGAGAATTGTTGCACGTCAACGTACTCTGAACTCCTCATGGACTATTGCTCGTTTAGAACTCTGCGGGTTGCTCCTTGCTGCGGAACTTCTAGCCGTTCTTCTCGAAGAGTTTGATGTAGTAACGAATGACGGTTATGAAATTGGACCATTGTGGATTTTGACCGATTCTCAGCTTAATGCGTGGAGGCTCCGTCGATCACCTAAGCTTGATGAGAAGTATCTGCCGAAGTTTGAGCTCCGGCGTATGATGAGGCTGCGCAAGCTACTCTCTGATCTATCTCATAAATGCCATCATGATATTCATATTGGTAGCATTTCGGGGGCGGAGAATCCTGCGGATAATGGAACGCGTCCGGGTATGATAGATGACCCAGCTAGGATGATGCCTTTATCTGGAATGAATATTGAGCTCATTCTGGGTAAGGTCAAGGTGGTCTCTACTTTCTCTCCCACCCCCACCTTAGGCTATGATGAGGTTGAGGATGAGTTGGATGTCGTCTTGTCCTCGACTGATGTATCAGCTAATGCTGTGTTGGATCTGCAGAAAGATACTCCTTCCCTGGAGCCTAGTGAAGGTCTTCGCCAGCTGTTACTGGATGCTCAGACCGCCGACCCTCAGTTACGGGATATTCTCAAGAAGCTCAAAGCTGCTGATGGTGTTATTGACGGTTATGAGCTGAATAATGGCCTCATCTATCGCACGTGTAGTGTTGCTCTAGATGATTCGAATAGAGGTTCAGGTATTTGTCGTCAAATTGTGGTTCCTGAGGTTCGTCGAGATCTTCAGCTTCTTGTGGTTAAATGGGTACATGATAAACATCGAGGTCATCCAGATCGTACTACTCTCACCAGATGGGTCTCGCGCAGTTACTACTGGAAAAGACTCGATCGGACAGTGAGGGTGTTGAATAGAGAATGTGAAGGTTGCCAGGCGAGGAGGATTGCTGAGAACAGACGTCGAGCACAGTCTTCGCGACCCCCTGGTTGCTCTGTGAAATATGAGCCGCTTGCGATAGCTTATTTCGATGTGATGGGCCCCTACCAGCTCTCTAACGAGGAAGATGGTGACCCTAAGAGGGTGTATGTATTTACCCTCTCTTGTCATTCATCCAAGTTTGTGAAGTGTGAGCCTGCTTACAGTAAGTCGGGAGTGAATGCAGCCAGAGCCTTACTTCGACTATTAGCAGATGAGGGTCCGTCAAGAGTATTAATGGTAGACCAAGGCTTGAATATACCGGAGGTTCTGGCAGCTGCTGACGAATGGGATGTGACCGTAATAGCTGCCCCACCTCGTGGAGAAGAGTTGAGAGGATGGGGTGAACGGGCTCATAGAGATGTGCATGCTATTATTCGTGGATGTTTATGGGATCTGGCTGCTGACCATAAACTTCCTTCAGAAGATGAGTTCTTACGTATACTCAATAGAGCGGTCACTATTGTTAATATGACTCCTTATGTTGATGGCTCACCACTTTGCCCTTTCCTTGTCTGTCGAGGACATAGTAGGATGATTGGTGATATTGATGCCAAGAAGGAGGCTGAAGATATTCGAAAGGCTATATTTGATGGTCTGGAACCTCCCAGTTGGTGGACTGAAGAGCTTGCACAGCTATATCGAGAACGACAAGGAGAAGGCCGTACAGTTTTGTTGAAAGAGCTTGCTGATGTATGGTGGTTACGTAGGCGTAATGTTCGAGAGAGGTTGATGAGTCGTGTTAAGAGACATGCTGGCCGGGACCTCACTGAGGGTGAAAAGGTCTATCGTTGGCGTCCCATGTTAGGCAGATTTGGAAAGCTCAACACTGGTTGGTCTCCAGCGGTGTTGGTTAAGAAGATGAGTAATAGTGTTTGTAAAGTGCGTTTGCCTGATGGCAAGGAAGTCAACGAGAGCGTGCTTAACCTTCGTCCGGCGGGAGTGTGCCGGTAACGGCATTTTTATAGACATAATTGATAGAAAGTTATTGTGATTTTGTGTGTGTGTCTCTAGTCTCCATAGTTGTGTCCTAGCGTCAAGCTAGTGGACTCAGGTTCATAACTAATTTATTG